GGCTCCGCCGAGGCGCACGGGGTCGGCCGCCGGTAGAGGAAGCGAAAGGTTCAGCGGTGGCCGCCCGGACCGCCAGCCCGCCTGCCGACGTGGTCTGCGCCTGGCGAGTAGAGGGGAGTCGTGGTGCGGGGGGCCTCTTCCTGTTGGACCGCCGGGTTGCGAAATGGTGGCCCTGGTTTCTCCTTTGGGAACCGGGGCGCTTAGCGGGTTCAGCGAGGCTGTGCGTTTGTGTTCTCCTTCGGGCTCTGCCCTTTTAAAAGGTGGTTCTGAGCTAGGGAGGTTAAGGGACCAAGAGACTTCTCCTCCTGCAGTTTCAGACAACTTCTCGGCGTTGGTATCTGGGCCTTTTAGGCGGCCCTGGCTACTTCTGTGACTGGTCTGGTTTTTACAAAGTGGAGGGGCAGGAAAAATCTCTCTTCAAAGATGCCTTGAAACGGCGCTTCCCATCAGGAAGATAACTGGCAGAAAAATCCTAGTTTTGCAAAGTTTAAAGTTTTGCTGTAAAGCTATGGTTGATACCCTTGGAAACAGCTGGGAAAAGTCAGAATTCCTTTTCTGTCTTCGTGAAATGCTCCCGAATGTTCATTTTATTCACTGGCGAAACACACGGTCTTTGTGGACGCTGAAGTTAGGAAGCAGTAGTCTGGTGGTTTTCTCCTTTGTGTCTTCCAACCCTACTTTCTGTTGCTTCTGAAAGGTTTTGGGCTAGGAGTCTTGTGGCTCCCTCATATATTTGGAAGGAGTTTTCCAGTTCTGGGCCACGCTTACCTTTTGTATGTAAGGAACAGACTTTGTTTTATCTCTTTATGGTTTTGCTAACCTCACTGTTAAATATGGTGTCAATATTAAGTAAGTTACATGCACCAAATGTTATCTTTTGAGTGCAATGTGAGTTGTTAGTGACAGCTGGAAGGTAATGTCATGTGGAACACAGCAGCAGGAAGCTGGGTATCTACTGTAAATGTATATTACTGCTTCAGGTTAGGCTCGGTCACTTAAACTTAACAAAACAGGAAGCTGCTGTCAGTTCAGCTTGATGACATTGTTAGTTTCACAGTTCTGAATGGCGTGAAATCAATACCCAATTTAAAGGTCTCAGCAAGCTGATTGAACTGACTTTTTGGGTTGGAGGAGGGTAAGGTGGGGTGGGTTTTTTTGGTTGGTTGGTTGTTTTTTTAATAAAAAGATAACATTTTCTATTTCTTTTCCAAACCAAAAAGGGTGATCAGCGTACCTTAAGGGTTTCGTCAGTTCTAACTGGACTACTTGCTTGCTTGCTGTCAGAAATTTGTGCATAATGCTGTTGTTTAGCATTTTAGGGCTGCTTTGCTCTGTACCGGAAGTGGGGGGATTTCAAGAACTGGCAAAGTAACTGATACAATTCTTGCTTGTTTTATGGGGTGGGAGGTGGGCAGGTAGTGTTTTTCAAGTGGTTACTCAGTGGAAGGCTGCTGAAAATGGGTCTGTTTATAAAATTACCTTTGGTGACTGAAGGTGGTGGGTGAAGTTTTATAGAAAGGGGAAAAAGTTTGACTTGTGTCTTGATGATTATCACTGAGAAAACAGAAGAGCGAGTACTGTTGTTGCACACTGCCTGGGAAGAAGCTATTCTTAAAGTACCAAGGTAGACTGATGTGATTGATGTAGGAAAAAACCCGCATACTAATTGTTATCGTCTGCTTCTTTTTCAGATTGAAGCAAGTGAATTCTGATATAACTCAACTTTGTTAGAGGGCTTTTTTTTTAAAAAAAGTTGATCCACAGTGCATCAGAGCAAGTTACTACTTTACTTTTGAGTGACTTACAGGTGCTTGCCTGCATTGCAATAAAGGACTCATATATTGAGCAAGACTTATTTATCTCTTCGTTTTGGAGAGCCTAATAAACTGTTATTACAGTTTCTGTACTGACTTTCAAAGTTTTGAAGTCTAAAAAGACATCTTTAAAAATAAAAACATGAGCACGGCCAGAACAGAGAACCCTGTTATAATGGGTCTATCCAGTCAGAATGGGCAGTTGAGAGGCCCTGTAAAACCCAGCGGGGGCCCAGGAGGTGGAGGCACACAAACTCAGCAACAGATGAACCAGCTGAAAAATGCCAACACAATCAATAATGGCACTCAGCAGCAAGCACAGAGTATGACCACCGCTATCAAGTAAGTGTGTGTATAGGCTGCCATGAAAGTAATGCTTGAAAGTCGCATTTGGGAAAGTGTTCTCGGATTCCCATGTGTAAAAAGTTTTCCTCTGTTTTATGACCGGCGGTTGGAAGTGTCCTGTGATATGCATTATGAAATGAAAGCCGTATTTCCAAGTGCAAGCTTCTCTCTGATCTTTGTAGTGCGTTAGTGTTGAAAATCAAGTTTGATGCTTTGCTTTTCAGAACGTGTATCTGCTTGTCAGAGGTAGCCCGCTGAGCAGCAGCAGCAGCATCCCGTTCTCTTTGCTCGTTGCGAGTGGTATTAGAGGGAAGTTGGGGAGTGGGAAGGAAGTGAACCAAAAGTGAAGGCAGAGGAGGAAATACCACCTGGTTTAAGTCCAGTTGTGTGTGCTTTTTAGTTGTTTGTTGCAGATCTTTCTTGTGGTGAGAAATGCTGTGGTGATCTTTTGTCATAGCTCTTAAACAGTAGCGCTTACTCTGCTCACTGTAATGCTCCGGCTTTAACTCATCAAGGCCTGAGCTGAGATAATATGGTACCACTGTGATACCCTCCTACCATCAGACTGCTTTTGGAAGCGTGCTAATAACACGCGAGTGTGCTGGCTGGAGATTCAGAAAGATGCAAAAGACATGGATGTTACGGTAACGTCTTGCTTTTCTTTTTTTCCTGTGGTTCCTCCTCCCCCTGAACTACATTCCTTTTTACTTTGTTACTCGATTGTTTTCAAAGGAAGTGACAGCTGTCGTCAGAGGTGTGTAATGAATGGAATATTCAGGTTCTTAGTTTGCCTAATGCATTTCCCTGGTTTTGTTTTCAAATGGGTTACTCTAGCGAAACCCATGAGTTAAACTCTTCAAAATTCACTTACAGCTTCCTGGGATTGGGAAGAGAAAGACTTCTCTTTACAGTGGCTTTTGGGAGAGGATAAGTGTCTAAACCTTACTGAGAGCAAAGGACGGCATTTGATCAACAGGCGGAGCGTGTGCTTATCTAATTTTCTCCTCAGAAGCGTTTTTTATTTTCTCACGTTACTCGTGGGTCAAGAATGATGTTCCCTGGACAAGAGAATTTTTAAATATATTTTTTTAAGTGATTAAATACTCCTGTATGGACTTATTTTAGCCAGTTTCTGTCATATGACTAAGTCAGTGCTCAGTTTTAAATCTGTGTTCTACCAGATTGATTCAGCGCCCTAAAAATGGGTCTTGAATCATGACTGGATAAAGATTTCACAAATTCTCTGAGCGCTTGGCAGACTGCTGATTTTTTCTGTTTACATTTTCCTCCCTGTTGCATCCTGCTTAGCTCAGAGAAGACTTGAGCTCATCTGTGTAGGCACTCTTAGCTTTCAAGAGGTGAAAATATTAATGTTCATTACTGTATCTAAGGAAATAAAAATGCAAAGCAAAACTGTTAAACCATTTTTAAAATTATTTATTCTTACTTTATTTTTGGCATAGACCTGGTGATGACTGGAAGAAGACTTTAAAACTCCCTCCAAAGGATTTGAGAATCAAAACTTCGGTAAGGATGGTTGAGTTTTAGGAAAAAATATTAAGTAAAAGATGCGGGAGAAGCTGCAGTGGCAAAGTATTTGTCCTAGGTAGAGATTCAAAAGCAGTTCAGCTCTTGCAGTTTTCAATGAAGAAAATGTTCTGCCAGCGCTTGAGAGAGATGCTTCTCTTGGAAAGCTCAAAAATGGGGTTTGCAGTGAATTTCTTACTTTATTAGTGTTATGTCATGGGGCTGATTGTCAGTGCCTCTTGTGAGGCAGATGGGAAGATGTCCGTGTATGCTCGCAGTGCTGTATTGGGTTATGAGAAAGCTGACGTCGCCCTCTCCACTGTATGGCATCGCACAGAGCAGTGGGAACTCCTCTACGGTCAGGGCATGTGCTTTGTGGCCTTCCTGCAGAGGCAGCCTCACGTTGAGTCAGACCGATGTGCAGCTGCGAGTTGTGTGACCCTAACCTTACGCGTCTGCTTTTTTTGATTATTCAGGACGTGACCTCCACAAAAGGAAACGAGTTTGAAGATTACTGTTTGAAACGGGAGTTGCTGATGGGAATTTTTGAAATGGGCTGGGAAAAACCATCTCCTATTCAGGTTGTTTACAAACAGAATTCCTACAAGCAGTGTTTGATTTTTAGAAATGTATTGAATTTCTGATTCGTGCTGAAATGTCGAATAGTCGTGTCACAATTTGGAAAAACTGGGGTTGTGAACAGTAGAACTTGGTGTCTCTTTGGGGAAGGCGAGAATTTCTAATGAATGACTAAATCGTCAAGTCTTGCAATCAGTGGCTTGGAGATGGGACTGACTTACGCTTTGCAGAGGTTAACTTGGATTTTCCTCTTTACTCTAGAGGCATTAGCGCATTAATCCTCTGTTCAGTGCCATCCTTCATGTGAGTAGTCCCAGTGAGAACAGGGCTGTGCTGGGAATGTTCTGGAAAACTGAGTTACCACAGGCTGCAAACCTTTGGTTGTCGCAGAGGTCGCTCTGGCTTTATCGCAGTCTTGGCTTTTCTATAATAAGCTTCTGGAAGGATCATAATGAAGATTATGGAAGCGAGATTAATACGTTAGCAAGTTTAATTTTCTGTTCCTCCAACTTGCTTTTACTTTTTAAGGCTTGTTCTGTTAAGAACTGTTGATGTGTAAAATTCAAGGGGATGGAGAGATTGAACTCTCTTTTAGTTGCTCTTTGGAGGATTATCACTGACAAAGCTCTGCCATCGTATCTCTTTAAGGCATGAGAAAGCTTTGGCTTTTAGGTAATTTGTCTGCTTTAAAACAGATTCTGACCTGCCACCTTTCCAAAAGGCTGAGGTTCTTTAGATGTTGCTGTAAAAGACAGTAAAGTGAAAAATACTCGAGGCCTGTGTTTGAACGGCCGAAGATTCAAAAGGAAAGCCTGCTGGTTTTGTGTGAAGTGTATCACAGGAGCGTACAGGTTTGAATTACACAGGTTGAGGTGATTGTGATGTTAAGGTATGGGTGGGTGTCTTTTTTTCATAGGGAGACTTTGCTAGTCGCTGTTCCTGGCGCTTCAATTTTTTCCCTTATTTTTCATGTTTTTCCTAATGTATCGGTATGGGTTTACTGTTCTGTGGTACCTGATCCCTAATTTTCTTATGACCCAGCAATATAAGGACTTTTAAGTGGGATACGGGGAGCAGAGCTATTGCTTTGTTGGGGAACAATTTCCTAATGGGCTTAACTCCTTCCTTTGTGAGTCTGCGATGCTTGCGGTTGCAGGATAGTCTGTTCATGAAGCAATCGGATTTCATGTGATACTGTTAGTGAGGAGAGTTCAATTTGGTGACCCTCTCCGGCGAGCGTGGCTCATGATTGCCTATGTGCTGTCTGTCCTTGCATTTCAGGAGGAGAGCATCCCCATTGCTTTATCTGGTAGGGATATCTTGGCTAGAGCGAAAAATGGAACAGGCAAGAGTGGAGCCTACCTCATTCCTTTACTTGAACGGCTAGACTTAAAGAAGGACAATATACAAGGTCAGTTGAGATGGATCTCACTTGGCTGCAGCCAGGTAATGGTATCGATTGCTCAAATCTAAAACCGGTTAAGGAAATTGAGCAGCATAGATTGTCTGCTCATACTTTCAGTGAAACGTAATGGGGAGCAATGGAGGAGAGCTGGAATTTTAAAAGTCCCCCAGTTGCTTTCAGAAGCTTGAAATGAAAGGTGTCTCCTGGACTCTACTGTCTTCCCTCAGAAAGTGGACTTGGAGTAATGAGGCAGCGTGCTGGCTGGGGGACTCATGCGGAGCCAGTATCGAGGGACGGGGAGCCCGTGCAGGAAATTTTCCTTGTGGCGAGCTGTTTCTGGGTATTGGTCAGGATATCCTGTGTGGAACTCCAAAGCCATAGAAGTAGACCTTTCGTTAAGTCTCCGTCCCCTCGGAGGATTAACATTTAAGATGCAGCGTGGTACTAGTAACTCACACTAGTGCTTTTAACTTTCAGCAATGGTGATCGTTCCCACCCGTGAACTAGCCCTGCAGGTCAGTCAAATCTGTATCCAAGTCAGCAAACACATGGGAGGTGCCAAAGTGATGGCAACAACGGGAGGAACCAATTTGCGAGATGACATTATGAGGCTTGATGATACAGGTCAGAGCGCTTTTGCTACTCTACTGTGGCTGTTTGTTCATGGCTTTTACAGAATGGCCCTGGAATTTCTGCTTGTTGTGACTGTGTGCCTGGTACAGAACAGGTTACAGTACGTCTTGTTCGCCGTTTGTACCCTGTCATTATTCTCTCAAACTGTATGAAACACGGCCACGAATGCTTGAAATGTTTTTGTTGCCTTAACCATTTTCTTCTTCTAACCTTACAGTGCATGTGGTGATAGCTACCCCTGGGAGAATTCTCGATCTCATCAAGAAAGGAGTAGCAAAAGTTGAGCATGTCCAGATGATAGTATTGGATGAGGCAAGTTGCTCATGTTAAACGTGTTGGGGTTTTAACACCTAGCTACAGCAGTGGTGTGTCTTGGCGAGTCTCCTCATTAATGCGCAGCAACGAATCAAACGTTGCTGAGACGCGCTATAATGGTATAGCTCATCCTTTTCTCAGTGTTTTCAAGAAGGTATTTTGGCAGAAGAATTTTTCTGTGACCAGTTAAGGTTCCATTTATTTTCCCTGGATTTGACTCTGTTTCAATTGAAGTGCTGAAAACCAGGAGAGGGTAAACTTACTGATGAATCCTGTGTCCAGCAGCTAAATCAGACGTCTGTTGGAGCATGGTCCGTGCTCCAAGGGGGACAGTCCCATCATAAGGGCAGGAAGAATGCTCCTGGTGTTTAGTTTTGTTTTCCTTGCCAGTGTGGTACTACCAGAAGACTGAAATCCTGCGCAGTTAATTTAACATGCTCTTTATCACTTCTGTTACTACAGGCAGATAAGTTGCTGTCTCAGGATTTTGTTCAAATAATGGAAGACATTATTCTCACGCTACCTAAAAACAGACAGATTTTGCTCTACTCGGCCACTTTCCCTTTGAGTGTACAGAAGTTCATGGTGAGTGCAGATGTGTTTGTGTACGTACGATGGTCATGACATTGCACGCAAAGTGTGTGAATGAGTGGGGCGTAGCTGTTAGCGCCTGTTTTTTTTAGTGCTTCCAAGCTGCACTGGTTTAATCTAAATCAGCCTGAATCTAGGACAGAAGTTTGAAAATAATCTTTGACCAGCAATAGCAGTAATGGGAACGCCACGTATGCACAGTTCTTTCCTTTACAGTACTGTTTTCTACTTTGTACATGAGTTGCGTGCCGTTTGCGCTGTTTTGCTTCCAAAGGGTGCTCCTGTTTGGCCTGCTCGGTCACCTTGGATTTTTAAGTAATCCTTTGTGAAATCTTACCCACTCTGCCTGTCTTGTGTATGGCGTGAAGAGTGAGCGGCAAGGTAGCGCATCCTTGCCATGGCGGAAGTTCGGTGTGCTGGAGGGTGGGAGGTGCTTTGCGTGTAGATATGCCTGCTTTATCCTTATCTTTATTTTTCAGAATTCCCATTTGCAGAAACCCTACGAGATTAATCTGATGGAGGAGCTGACCTTGAAGGGAGTTACCCAGTACTATGCCTATGTAACCGAGCGTCAGAAAGTACACTGCCTCAATACTCTGTTTTCCAGGGTAAGTGGTAGGGCTTGGCCAACAAAATGCGGAAGGTTTTTACCTTCTGGAACCAGGAGTAAGACTGAGGGTGGCAAAGATGGCTTAACACCACTTTTTCCTTTTCAAAATGTGATATTTAGCTGAAGGTAAAAATGTGTGCTTCTCATCCAGCACCCTTGTGTTACACAGCTTTGATTATTCCCCCCCCCCCCCCTTGGTACAAAAACACGTACTCTATAATTACCAGCAGCATACGCGCTTTCCTTTCTTTCTGGAGGGGATTTAGACTTAGGTCTTGGATCATTTGTTAGTATAGCGCTGCATTTACCAAGCGTCCTACTTATATGTTCAGCTCCAGATTAACCAGTCGATCATTTTCTGCAACTCCTCTCAACGGGTTGAATTGCTAGCCAAAAAGATCTCCCAGCTGGGCTATTCCTGCTTCTATATCCATGCTAAAATGAGGCAGGTGAGTATGAAATCTACAACAGTTTAATCCGCACACCACCCCAGGCTTTATGGCATAGCTGAATTGAGTCTTGCACTTGTTTAAATTTGCATGTTCTTTGAAAGCTGAAACACGTGCTGCTTTGCTATAGATTTGCTTTTAGATGCACTGCCTGCCCCTCAGTTTCCAGACTCCTCAGTGTAGCTGGTCAACTGGTGTTTAAGAGTACTCCAGGTCCAGTTAATTGGTCCGGTGTAGGCACAGACCATGGCCAGAAGGCACGGTTCTTACTGCTGCTGCCTCAATTTTTCGAGCCTGGGCAGCCATGGTAGACAACAGAGTGTAACTGGCACAGATGGAAACGAGCCTGATCTAAATGACAAAAAACCCAAGAAAGCCGATTTGCTTGGCTTTGCAAACAGTAAATTGTGCACTGTGGCTGCAGGGGAATCTGAGAAGTCAGGGAGGTGGCTTTGGTCAAACTTGTGAGCGAAAGTCACACTGATGTATGCGACACCATGGTACACCTGTGGCCTTGGCGTAGCTGATGAAAAACGCCAGTGTAACTTTGCAGGCACAGAGGTTTCTGTTAATTGTACAGTAGCTCACGCGTCCTTGAGCTTCCTACTTGTAATTTCCTTGTTTTCAACAAATGTACTAAAAGCTGTCAAAAGGTTGAAGTGATTGAGGTTGAGCTGTGATTCTATGATGCATGTGAAGCATTAGTAGTTTGAAATATCATTTTTGTCATGTTACATGTAAGCTACAATAAAATCAAATCAAAGCTTTGGAGACAACCTGGCTTCCTGTTCGTGGAACTGACAGGTAATGCCAATGTGTGCTGGGCCACTTGCAGACAGGTAATTAATTAAGCAGAAACAGAAGTGGTGTCAGTATTGAGAACAGAGAGAGAGTGCAAATAGGTTCCTTGAGGTCTGGGGTTTTTTATGCTCTTGATTAGTCAGTAGATGATCTTTGTGGCAAAATGCAGGGGGGTGTGTGTGGAAGCCTTCAATTTGTTTGTTGACACTGTTAATTGCACTCCTTAATCGTGATGCTAATCTCTGTGTGGCCTGGTGTCAGTTTTTTGTGAGAGGAAAGTCTTCGGAGACAATTGGCTCGTCCCACCTCTGATGCTGAATCGGTAGGGAAAAGTACTCCATACTGGAAAGGGAAGTTGCTGCCTGCTTCTGTTTTTAAAGGGCTGAATAAAACATGCATTGAATTTATCAGGGGGCTGGGGGCAGACGATAGTCAAAATATCAGTTTGACTTCCTTGATGCATGTTTCACGTAGTTGTATCTTAAGATACTCTTGTTCCGAGTTGGTTTTGATGCAACTGTAGGAGGCTTTCAAACACCGTCTATTAAGTAAGTGTCTTTGTTTAAAAGTGGTACCAAGGACCCCTCTGGTAAGCTCTTTAGACTATGTGATGTAAGAAGTGCTAAAAAGTATGTACCAGCAGCTGTGACTTGGCTGCTCTTTAATGAGGAGGGGGAGGAATTCACGTGGTTGAAGTTCAGTGCTAGTAACTTGAATGTACCTGCAAGTCACAGCTGTTTTTTGTTTTGTTTTGTTTTCTTTGTTCATATGTGTATATTTCCAGGAGCACCGCAATCGTGTATTCCACGATTTCCGAAATGGCTTATGCCGCAATCTTGTTTGCACTGGTAAGAGTTCCTAAATGTTTTCTTCTTTCTAAAGGTGTTGTGATTAAAAGCGGATTAGCCATTAGCCTAGGTATATTAGATGATTTGTAATAAAACAAAACGGTATATTTTGGTAAGATGTCTTTGTCAAGCCTGCATGTGGCAGGGTGCAGCACTGCTTTAGGCTTGTAGATTTTTGTCTTTTGTGACAAACTGTGAAGGTGCACCTTGCTACCAAATCCTTTAACCGTGATAGCGTTGTCTGTGCGAGTCCTGTGTTCCGTGCATTTTCACACGGGCCTTGCTCACCGAAACACCCGTAGAACTGTGGCTAGGATCACCAGAGTAGGTTTTGCCAGTTCTTTAAATGTTTCTAGCTCACCTTCTGTAGATATTTGTATAGTTGCGATTGGCCTGTGTGATCTGAGTTCTCCATTGTACGGTCTGCTTGGGCAGTACCGCGGCCGTGTTTGCCGATGGCTGCACGTGTCTGGGTTTTCTTAACAAAAATCACTCGAAGCGGAAGAAAAATAGCTGAGCTAGCGAGACGTAGCTCAGGCCTCGGGTCTGTTACGTGACGCTGGCGATGCGCAGTCGTGTGAGGAGGTGCTGGTATAGGAAGACTTGCTCAGAAAAAAATAGCTTCGTGCTAATTACTGTTTAGGCATAGATGTGCAGATCCGGTGGTTTTGTCATTCTTGTGTTATTCACGACCGTAACGGAAAAAGAGCAGGAAGAAGCTGTAACAGAATTGCATGTGAACTGTCTTTGGAATAAGGAAAGGTTATATTTGGAAACTAGTGCAAGCCAATGTTAATCGTTGTTAATCTTTCTACCCTCCATACTGTCAGCGTTTGAGCTCTTGAAAGTAACTTTCTTCATGGCCTGGATTGTCTTTCAGATCTGTTTACCCGAGGTATTGATATCCAAGCTGTGAATGTGGTGATAAACTTTGATTTCCCAAAGCTAGCAGAGACTTATCTCCATCGTATTGGCAGATCAGGTGAGAGGAAAAACGTCTGTTAGCTACAACTTTGCTGATGACTGTGATGTTTCTTAGGCTTGAATTGGCTTCTGGTTTTTTTTACTTTATCTGAGAGAGGTTATAGGTAGCTTTGATTTTTGACAAACTTATTCTTGGGTATCATCTCGGGTGGTTATCCTCACAAATATCTGAATAAAGGGCTGTTCTCTTGAAGCTGGCCAGAACAGCCTAATGGTCGGGGGCAAGCCTATTTTGCTTTAATCTCTGGAGACTTACTGGTGCTCCTGTTTGCAGTTTGGGAAAACTCTATACTGAAAACTTAGCTTCTGTGATGCCTTAAGCATAGTTTTCTTCTGTGTGCGCTCCAAGGTCTGTTTCTAATGTGTACGCATTGGCAAAATACACCCCTAAGAAAGGCAGTACGTGGAGGAACTCGGTGTACTTGACCTTTGAAGTTCAGGTTTGCTC